ATAGACAAACAATTCTTGCTGATGGACACATTGTCTACAAGCTAAGATAAACAATATGATATTCTGACTTCAAAGGCAAACTTAATAATTTTTTTTCTGTTGTGAATTTAACACATATAACATTTTTAAACGTATCTTATATTTTTTTTCATTTTATGTTGTGATAGAGTAGTACTCTTTCTATTTTCTTCATGACATGATTAGAAGAAAAAAATATAATTTTGGAAAAAATTAACCTATCCTTGTTCCACTTGCATTTAACCTTTTTTTTTTGTTGATGAAATTCAATATCGAAGGTTTTTTTTAGTTTTGTTAAAAATGAAATTTAGAATAGAAAGTTAAAAGACAAAAACCTAACATATATCCCTCCGTTTTCACTAAATCGGAGATAATATAAGAATTTAATAAAAATATTTGTAACACTATCGACTGTGTTTTTTTAGACTAATTATTATTCTGTATTTCAGAAGAATCGTATTTATTTTTTCGTTTGGAAATTCATCTTATTCTAACAGTTCACTTTCTATCCATGTACTTCTTCAAAATAACATTTCAGTCTGTAACAGCTGTTTATTACGTTTAACATTCTAATCAACTAAGGTAAGGTCGATGACTCTAGCTTCACTCGATTAAATCAAAATTTCATAAAAAAAATTACATTGCCGTGTTTAGCAAATGGCCTAACAAGCTCTTCATCTTCTCATGATATTGTGTAAAGGAGGAATATCAGATTTACTGTTACAAGTAATTGCTGAAATTATGCTCTCAATCCAATTTCAGTTGTTCAGCATTAATTTTAATTTTATCTGATAATACGCTGATTTTTTAAATGAAAAGCTATTAAAAAAAGATATATTATAAAGAAAGTAAATTTTTTGAGAATAGATATTGGCAACCTTCATTGAAATTTGATTTTTTAAAGATATATTTGAATCTGCGGTTTAATCAGACAGTTTCGAGACTGTAACTAAACATATAGTTGAATAATTTAATTTTTTTTTTTTTTTACAAAGTACAGTTAGTTGAAGTGATTTTCCACTAGAATGACACAGAACATTTGACATAGAAAAAAAGAATGACTTGGTTATCAGTCAACATTACAAATCACATTTTAAAAATAAAGTTCAAAGAGAATTGTCATGGAGATTCACGATTCCTATTGGAATATAGTGCTGTGCACTTTATGTGATCTTTGAAAGATAGATGATTTTAAGCTCCATAAGTTTGTGAAATCCGATTGGCAGCATCTATGCATTAATATCACTGTCAAAGTTTCCTTTAGAGAAAATGCTGTAAAAGCAAAATTACAACGTAAAAGTATTGACGTCAGCATAAGAATATAAATCACCATGTATTGATATACATAAGGACTACAACAATGGGAGATAATAGACCAGTCTTTAAATACAGCCCCCGGATGTGCTTCATACCAATATTAGCTGACTTGTCCTTCAGGGTATATGTAAATATTTATACTATGATATATCCTCATCGCCCACTACAAGACAAATATCTGTCCACTTTCCAAGGACTAACATCTGTTATTGCTAATGAACTGAAAGTCCCACTATGCAAAGATGAAAGCCTTTAAAATATAATGATTGTGTATCTTTACTGGTACTTGACTTTATGACAGGATTTTGGTCATATGGAAGATGCTATTTGGAGAAGTCCTTTTATTTAGATTTAAAAAATATCAATATGATTCGCATGTAAATTGCAACACTTGTAACAATAATTTCATGTGTGCAGAGTATGTGATAAGACCAAAGAAGTTTGTTTATCTCTTTGTTTGGAGATGGATCTTTTTTATTGCAAAAATGTATAATAGTATATTCTATTTTCTAAAATAAGGGGAAAAGAAGAAGGATGGATGATGACTTTCCTTTAGCTGTTTTTTTTGTCTTTGTTTTTCTTTCATTCATCATAAAAAAAGCGGGTAATCATTTGTCGTGCTTAGTCATTTCATGTTCATATAAAGTACACTTTAGATGTGTTTTGATCTTGAGCATTAAAAACCTTCTAAAAGATATTTTAAATGACTTTTCTTTTTTAACGGTAGCATTGGGGGAAGATTTGTTTACACAAATTACAAAGTATAATTAAAATTCGTTATAAGAAATTGAAAAGTACTAAAATATAAATTGAATTCAATAAATCGATAAGAAGATAATTAACCATCCCCCCCCCCCCCCGGTGTTTTGATATCAAGTGAAATTTACTGTGAAGTTACTTATTTCCATGGAGTAAAAATTTTCGCTGTTTTCGATCTATGAGGAGACCCAAACGTCCGAAATGATTGATTAAATGTTAAAAGGAAAATTGATATAAGAAATTGTAGTCTAAATTTTCTTAAAGATAAACTTTAATAGTTTAATAGTTTAAAAATAATTTCAAAATGATAGAGCGACCGAACAATGTTAGGAAAACCAATTTTAGAACTTTTTCGGCGTGAAACCTAATTTACATCCCACAGCATGGGAATTTCGTTTACTGAAAGGAGACTGAAACAGAACTGATTGGGAGAGATCTACAACTCAGTCAGCAGTCAGCAGTCCAGGCTTCAAATCCTTCCTTTGTAACATCAAGACGGAAAATAATGGAATTTGACGAGTATTAATTTTCCGTCAGCTGCATTATTTCTTCCTCAGTAGCGAAACCCGGCTGTCGTTTTTTTCAGCTCTTGGGCGAGCCGTTGAGAAAATCTTGTGACATACTCAGTTACACATTATTTTGTGTATTTTCAATCAAATAGAACTGAAGTAATTATCGATGAGTTTACAAAAGGCAAACAAAGCAGCTGAGGTGACAAACAGCACAATGATCTCAATGACAGGATTTTAAAATTTAAACACACATGCATAGGTGGATAAAAACATAGTATTAATAGCGGCTAACTTCTGTATATATTCAACATTAGGTAGGTTTTATTTCGAAATCCACTCTAGAGGTTGGGGGTCTCTAAATACCTTCTAATGGGATAGTATTTTTTGTAATTCCGTCAACCAAATAATGGATGACTTAATATCAAAATTGCAAAATCTGGAAAGTTTATATATTTACTGAGAAAGCAAAAAATATTTTTTGAGGTTAGTTGTACCTTTTTCAGCTATTGTTGGACACAGTGGAGCCATTTCATGAACTGTAAGGCAATACATGCTCTAAAAAGAATGAAACCATTTCTTGATGAATGAATAGAAGTCAAGTGGATGGTACCTGCTTACCATCCCATTTACTTGTAAATAAAATATTGCATACGTGAAATAAAATCATTTACTAAATAAAAGTATTAATTTGTTCAGTTTCCAAAATCATAACTGGTGCAAAACATTTTTGACTCTAAAATTGAATAATAAAGAAATCAAAGACATAGAGAGGTAACCTTCAGTATGCAAGCTCAAAAGTCCATTTACGGAGTATATATACATGACAAGAGACATTTTACATTTGCAGTAGAGAAGTATGGATACTGTTATATGTACACCAATGAAAATACAATCTATAGAAATTATCAGGAGTTTTCCTTCCATCTGTAGACTTAGAACCTTCAGCTTATTAGTTTATCCTACAAACAGCTTCTGTGTAGGGGTTAAGGTCTATAACTTTGTCTTTATCAACACATGTGAATACCTAGTTATAGTGATGGAACGATTGTCGGCGACAATCGATTGTCGGTCGTTAGAAGCTCTTCGATGCTACTAATCGATTATAAAATAAATGTCGCCGACATCGCTAACAAAAAATAAAATTGTCAAACTTTAATTTTATTACCAAATCCAAGTGCAAAGAGCATAAAAGTAGTGATGAATGTTGAAAACATGAAAGGATCCCGTGTCTTGTTGATACTTTTACCGCCATGATTAAATATGGGGTTAGACTAATACCAGGAAACGGTAATATTGCAAGTAAAGGAAAACATAATCAGTCTAGTCAATCTTTAAACGTAATTATATTCATAAATACAAGTCTAACATGAGGATAATTACTTTTACAACTTGCAATTTTAACTAATCAAAACTAATTTTAAGAAATAAATACGTACATGTATTAAATGAAAGGTGGGACTAATATCAGTAAAATACCCATTGCATGGACTTTATAAAAAAAAATAAATTCCCATTCTGTTTCAATAGTCCTATATTGTTTAAAGTAGACAAAATATTATTTTCCACTTTTTAAAAAAGAAATTTCAATTAAATTTTTTTGAATATTTTATGTAAGTAAATGTTTTTTTATGTAAAAGTCTGACAGAAATCTGAATAAGTTTTAACTTTTCTATATTAATTTTATTGAAGTTAAAAATTTCGATTATAATCGATTATTAATCGATTACGATTATTACCGATAATCGATTATGAATTTTTTCCGATTCCCCATCACTACCTAGTTATGCAAAAACATTGTGAAATAAAAATCGTTTGTCTCCGAATCAAGACACAGTTGGAATTGCCTTTTCCAGTAAACATTAAAACACAATCAGTACATCACACATATCGTTTATTAAATAAAACTATGGCAAGTTCAACAAACTTCAACAGTTTTTGACAACGATGAGACTTTAATAAGATGTAAATATCTTTGAAGAATTAGTTCAAATAAGTGGAGTCTAAAATAGGACAGCATAATCCATCTTAATTAACGAAAGATGTATTAAAATAATTAAGGACTAGGAAAATTAGGAACAACAAACCCATGAACTGGTCTGATTTTTATGGAAAATGCATCACATGTTCTTTTACATTGACCTATTTTAGTGAATGCGTTCAATCGACTAAATAATCAAGGAGACTAAATTTGGAATGATTCATTGTGATCAAACCGTATTCCAATTTACAGTGTACATATTAATGAGTCTATCTTTCAACTTCTTATTTAAGAAATAATCGAAGGGTGTCATCGTTTTTTTCATCTGCACTAGAATGAGTATATTTTTAGTTTAACCTTTCAGGTTCACATTAATACATATACACACTTATCAATGAAAATTAAAATTAATACTTTTATAGTGGAAAATGTATCACTCCGCTGTAGTACCTAGTTATTCCTGATCTGAGTTTATATATATATATACATGTACAGGTTATAAACAAGAATAAACAAAGTAATTAAAGCTGCCAAATAATGTGTCAAGGTCGTGTTCATGGGGCTGACATTGCGAGCAGTTTATCGGGAATTATTTCGGGAAAATGAGAAAATGTCCAGAATATTGAGACAGCTCCTTTTCCTACGGGATATCTGTACCGTGGAAAGCGCGCGAACAGTGCATGCTGTATTACCCGTGTCACCTTTGTTAAGTCTGGGTCGAGGGTTACTCGAGCCTTCACAACATCAGTGTACCCTGCAAGAATGCAAAATTTAATCTTTAATGTAGTGATGGAACGATTGTCGGCGACAATCGATTGTCGGTCGTTAGAAGCTCTTCGATGCTACTAATCGATTATAAAATAAATGTCGCCGACATCGCTAACAAAAAATAAAATTGTCAAACTTTAATTTTATTACCAAATCCAAGTGCAAAGAGCATAAAAGTAGTGATGAATGTTGAAAACATGAAAGGATCCCGTGTCTTGTTGATACTTTTACCGCCATGGTTAAATATGGGGTTAGACTAATACCAGGAAACGGTAATATTGCAAGTAAAGGAAAACATAATCAGTCTAGTCAATCTTTAAACGTAATTATATTCATAAATACAAGTCTAACATGAGGATAATTACTTTTACAACTTTCAATTTTAACTAATCAAAACTAATTTTAAGAAATAAATACGTACATGTATTAAATGAAAGGTGGGACTAATATCAGTAAAATACCCATTGCATGGACTTTATAAAAAAAAAATAAATTCCCATTCTGTTTCAATAGTCCTATATTGTTTAAAGTAGACAAAATATTATTTTCCACTTTTAAAAAAAGAAATTTCAATTAAATTTTTTTGAATATTTTATGTAAGTAAATGTTTTTTTATGTAAAAGTCTGACAGAAATCTGAATAAGTTTTAACTTTTCTATATTAATTTTATTGAATTTCAAAATTTCGATTATAATCGATTATTAATCGATTATGCCCAGCCGATTATTACCGATAATCGATTATGAATTTTTTCCGATTCCCCATCACTACTTTAATGTCCTCCATTCCTTTCAACGTAGAAATTTTTTTTCAGATGCAAGTATAAGATTTTGACTTAGGATTATATCATGCAATATTTTGCTTGTTCAAAAGTATTCCCCACTCCTCAAACAAACCCCTTTCTAAACTGAACATTCAATGAAAAAATGAATATGAGTTTTGAATGAGATCTAAGACATTACTATTGGAAGTTGAAAAAATCAGATGTTGGTTTCTAGTAAAGATATACCCCTTCCCCGTTAATTTTTACTTAAGATTAATTATTTTCATAAACAGCGAAAATCAATCACCCATATTGGCGCTTTTCTCGCCGTAGAAGTCCTTGACCTCCTGTGGAAGGTCATCAAACGCTTTACGGAGACGTTGACTGGCGTCCGTCGGGAAGACGTTTGTTGTAAACCCACTGGGTTGTATCATGTGAGCCGTCACTCCTATATTATACATCTCTCTTCTGCAGTATAATAAATCGTATAAATTGTGAAGTCATTATTTAGAAATAAATATATGATTAACCTTCAAATGTTACGTTCGTTTATAAGGATATCTTTCCCACCTTAATGTATCTGTGTACGATTCTACAGCCGCTTTACTGATGTTGTATGGCGCCAGTTTTGGAATGGCTAACATGGAAACAATGGAAGACATGTTGACAACCCGCCCTTTGGACTGTCGAAGTAGAGGGAGGAAGGCCTTGGTCATTTCGATGACACCGAACAAATTAACAGCCAGAGTTTTGTCGTACTGTTCTTTGGTTTGCCATTCTAAAGGTGCCGCCAGTAAGAGAACTCCTGCGTTGTTGACCAAACCCCAGAGCACTGTGTAAAGAAGGACAGAGGACTCGTCATATTGAACGTTTAAGATTTGTTAAATACTAACACGTCACCTATATGGCACGCCAAATTCACAAAAATGAGCTAAACATAGTTTCACAGTTGATAAACTAGGTTTATCGACTGTTAACTATAGTTGATAAACCGTGAACTATAGTAATCAATTCGGTAATTATAGTTTTCATCTGTAAAACTATATCTAACAGTTGTTAACTATAGTTTACGAATGCTAATCTAAGTTTATCTGTCTGTAATAAAACGTTAACAACAGATTTTGTTGATAAACATAGATTCACTGTAGTTTACAATCATGAACTGTTAAGAATTTTTAATCATAGTTTCACAAATCGTGAAACTGTATTTATCAGATCGGTAACTATAGTTAAGAGTTGTAAAACATAGTTTACAAATCGTGAAACTGTATTTATCAGATAATCTATGTTTTGCAATCGCAAATGATTGTTTTCAGTGTTATGTATAGTTTACGGTTCTGAAACACAGATTATTGCGTTAACTATGGTTTACAGATGTAAAATATAGATTAACGTTGTTAGCTATAGTTTACAGTCCGTAAACTATAATTTACAACCGATAAACCTAGTTTATCGACTGTGAAACTCTGTTTAGCTCATTTTTGTGAATCTGGCTTGTCATACACCCAGCTTCTACGTGTATTTTCTATCTATAATGTGGTTTAGTTCTAAGAGCCAAATGGTATCTGATATTATGATCGCTTTCAAGAGAAGGAAATTTTGTCAAGAAGTCATGAACTGCCAATAAAATCCTCTTAATTGGAAATACTTGATTGTCTGTCCCTTTAAAACTTTCGAAGAAACTGTGTTTTTATCCTTTCTATAGGCATAAACATAAACTAAATAAATAAGATGTTACATTTGAGATGTTGGATTGCAAAGATAAGGAATATAGTTTTTTTCTGAGAAATCATATCATTGCAAATTCTCTGCTATAATGAATCTTGAGTGACGGAAATATGATTTAATATTCGAACTATATGCACGACCACTTTAAAAACACAGCATTTCATAACATTTGAACTCTAAGAAGTCTTCTTTTTAAGACATTCAAATAAAGGTACTTTTACTTCCAAGTACTTATCCTAGGTTTCTAACAAATCTTTTCTACGAATAAAAGAATACAACTGACTCAGAATAAACTGCGTCAAAAAAGGGATAAAAATTATACATGAAAGATACAGAGATAACGAACAGAATTCAAGATCAAAAATCCATACAACAATACAAAATAGAAGCAGAGCAAATATGGACCCCCAAAACATCAGAGGTGGGATCAAAAATTGAATTAAAAAAGTAAGCAGGTAAAAACACATACTCAATTTATCAAATTAATAAATCCATGAAAACTTACCTTCATCTTTAGCAAGTTTAGACTTAACCAGATCCACAGCATTTTGAATGGATTCCTCTTTTGTCACATCGAGACGAAACACGACAGCTTTGGAGGAACACTTCTCTAGAAGCTTTTTCTCCCCTTCTTCAGTCAAACAGGAGGCGAAGACACGGATTCCTTTCTTATCCAACTCCTGTGCTAGCAGGTGCCCGAATCCCGTATCACAGCCTGTTATTAAGACACATTTATTCTTTGTGTCTAGGAAAAGTGTACGCATGCACAGCTCCACCGACTTTAAGATTATTAACAATATCACAACTAAACACCCTAACAGTGTAAGTAAGTCCATGGTAAATGATAAAACAAAATCACAGGTAACAAACAAAGCAAATGATTAAAAGTAGTTACTACTGTAGATATTTATAAGTAATTGTTTGCATTTTGTAAGTTCAAGGTGCATGACTTACTATTAATTTGCGATGTGATGTATAGCCTATCAACCATTCAGAATTGGGTCCCATCCTAATCGTTTCGAAAAAATACCTCGAACAAAAATATGAAGATATGCCATTTTGGACTTTTCGGATTTTACAAAATGAGCCATCAAAATCAACGATTTTGAATGACAAAATTTTGATCGATCCTTATAATCTTCAAATTATTTTTTAAAAACCAAGATACTTCGTCGAAGAAATAATTTCCTATGGATAATGCGATTCCTTCACTAACCCAATACATGTATATTAATCTGGAGAAGGAAATACTCCTGGTATTCCGTAGTCAAATTCGTCATAAATCGAAAATCCTAAAACATTGGTTGGAAACACATCAGCAAAAATTTCACTCAGTGATAGGATATATTTGCTAACAAAGTCAATATAGCGAAAAAAGAATGAGAAATTAAATTCTGACGAGATCGTTGAATCCTTTTAGCATCAACTTATCTTGCCGTAGCCTACCGTGGTTTTAAAAATCGATCGTTCTCAAAATGGGTTAATGGAAAAGTTTTAGTCATCTCATTTATCATCATTTGTCATAAAATTTAGTTGGTCCTTATCACATCTAGTCTAAAAACATCAAATATAAAAATCGTGTGAAAATTAAGTGTTTTTTTCTTATTCATCGTGATATATCGAGACAACATATAAATCTATAAATGGGAAAAAAGAAATGTTAAATGATAAAACGTCATCAATATACATGTGTCTATATGAATGGCGAATTGCTTTAATGTTAAATCCCTAAAAAAATCTATTTTAGATGCAAGATATCTTGGTAGCAAAGCCGATGAAAAATGTGTCCACATTTTAAAGCTTTAACAGCGTTACATTCAAGTGCATTTTCTTCAACTTTTTCCAGTTGATGTTTAAGTGAGTCCATTTAGAGAATAGACCTCAACACTGGCTCTGTTTATTTTGACTGACTTATTAGGGATTCGTTTTAAAATTTCAACCTCCTAATTCTCATACACAGGGCTACCGGGGGCCGTAAAAAGTCGACAGAGGGAGATTTTTAAAAATTAATACACAAGATTGCCACTTTTCCTAAGTATTAAGAATAAAATCAAAATTTGTGAAAGTGCAAGGATGTGTCAATCAAACTCATCCAAAAATCTGAAGTTTGAATGACTTTTAGATGAAATAAGATTTGTAATTTATTTTCGTGTGAAATCTTATAACAACAATATATAAGTTGTGATATTATACAGAAAAATATTAATTAACTTCAAATCTTTGTCTATGCACCTTTCATGGTTAGCATATACATATAATAGAGAATTTAATTAGAATATCTTCTCCGCGAACTAAATGACAGAAAATTTGCAAAAATAGATTTTGAAAAGTTCTTTTATTGAAGGATTATGTATATAGTTGTTATATGTGTGTGGTTGGGGATGGGGGTGGGGGTAGATTTATCATACCGGTTTGACACTTGAAATTATTATTTACTATTATGTGTACTATGTATAACTTGGCAATATTAGTTTGTTGATTATTTGATAACCAAATAATTGTCTGTGTAAATATGAGATAATTTTTACAGGCAGAAAAAGTAGTCTAGACATCACAGAAAAAAGTCTAGACATCCTCATATGTCGTTTAGTTAGTACACTTATACTTGTTCTAAAAATAAATGACAACTTCAAAATTGAATACTTATTTACCATATCCTTGTTTATTGATATATTTTTAAAGAGAAAACATTTCTCTTTATGTTCTTGTTTCACTTGTCCTTTTTGTGAATCGTGAACAAATAATATATTTCAAAATATTAGAATGCGAAAATAAAATTTTAAATCCCACGTAGAATTTGTCCCATTTTTGTGACCTGAATTAAAAATAAATGCGTCTTTATTTGAAGTTTTAATGTCAAGGTTTTTTTTTTATTGTTTGCCATTATGGAATTCTTAAAGCAGCAGATGTTAAATCAACAAGAAACGTTTTTAACTTCAATTGTGATACCTTAATTATATAACGAGAAAATTTATGAGAATATATAATGGGAAATATCATATACGGTGAAACCTGTGTAATTCTTAATTATATAACGAGAAAATTTATGTGAATATATAACGGGAAATATCATATACAGTGAAACCTGTATAATTCACATGCTATGTAATCCAAAATCTTGTCTAAAACGGTGTAAACTTTAAGACCATTGCAATAGTTTAAAGTGTTGCTAATCCGGAATGTTTTATCCGTCCAATTCCCTTGGAACCAGTGTTGTCCTGCTTAGACAAGTCTAGTCCGGCTGTTGAAGAACATTGCTGCAGATAAAAGCAGTTTTGTGCAACGAAGACGTGTGATCAGAAATATTGTTTATGGACTTTTGATCCTGAATAATGTTCGTTATCTAGATATGTTTCAATGTAAAAAGCTGAATGTTTTTAGTAAAATTCCCGTCCAAAAACATAGTTACCAGTATTAAATATTTCATATCTGTTACACATTCTGTAAATTTTAAATATTTGTATTACTATTGTAATCGCAGGAAAATCGAATCATTAAGTGAAGTCTACAGTCCTATGGAATTCAAAATTTGTCTTCCAATATAGTTCATTGTCCTTCATCAAACGTGTAAATCGTTTGTCAAAACGACGCAAATAGTGAGAAGGGTCACATCACAAGATAGTATTTTTTATCATTTGAAACTGTGTTATCAATCTATTCGGTGAAATTAGTAACAAAATATAAATATTTATTCAAAGATACAGACTAAAAATTTGCGATTTGAATTGTGATGTCGGAAAATAGATGATCAGACTCATCTAATGACATAAGATATGATATCGTATTTTACAGACATTAAAATCAAGATAATTTATTATCTCTGTACAAGGTTAATGTTAGTTAAAGTTTTATTCAGAGAAGATTTATTCCAACACCTTTAAATTAAATGAACAAAAATGAAAAAAAAAACACGTTTAACCAATGCTTACAACCTAACATTGATATACTCGTAAATGCTTTTCACTAAATTTATGATTGCTTATCAACCTTAGTGGGACCTTAAGCAAGTACAAATGGGTTCGACTTTCTTTTTCATCCTATTTTCCCAAGTAGATCTTAATGGGCGTTCGATCATAAGTACTAGAAGATGAAGAGGATAACAATAAGAAAGTTAGATAAAAAGAATTATCTCTTACAAAAGTGTATAATAGCACAATCTGAAATGTTTTACTAAATTACACCAGAAAGAAACTAAATGAGTACAATTTTTTTCCAACTTCATAATACCCCGGTATAATATACATTTTATTTAGCTTTCATTAAATGTATTTCTCTTTACTGGATAAAAAAAAAAACTTATTTCAAGATTTTCAAAACACCATCTATCAACGAGGGTAGGGATGTAAAATGATTCGTCATGAAAATGAGGTTTGAATGCAAATATTTGATATATGTATGTCAATAAGATATCGTCAATGAGATCGATATCGTATGCAGAAAAACACTTTAGATATGAAGTTAATTTTTGAAGATTCATGAGGTTATGAACTACGACGCTTCACGCCGGCATATTTCATAAAGCGCGTTATATAGCGCTTCATGATAAATATGCCGGCGTGAAGCGTTGTAGTTCATTTCTTATACTTACATTATTTTCCTGATGAGTTGCATCAAATTTACGGCATTCAACTGTCATTTTTAAGGCAAAACAGTTTGCACTATAGTTTTACGTCAAGTGCGGTATTGTGACGTGACAATGGAGATATTCATGCGCATCCATGGTTGTTCATGAGAAAATGATCAATGCTCCTATTTGCAAAGAATCTTAAGGAAAGTTATTTGGAACTGTAAATATATAGTAAAGCATTAAAGTTTGAGTTAAATGTTTAAGATTAGAAAGAATTATTATAAGGGCTTGACTTTATCACCATGCAGTTAAAAAATTAAATGACTAAACTCCGTGTGGCAATTTTCCTACTATTTACAAACACAATAGTTTATATTTATCAATCAAAATAGGTACATCTAATTTGTTGGAATTGAAATCCCATACTGGTACTTGAAAAATAACTCTCGTATACATGTTCAACTTGTACTGTATATGATATAAGTTTTTTTCCCCTTACTTTCATCACTAAATGTACATGTATTATATTTTAGTATAACAATTAATAAAGACATGAAACAATCACAAGCAATAACAAATCGTTCACTTGGCAAAGAAACAAAAGGTCATCTTCATATAGCAATGAATCCTTGATATGTCAATTCTGAGGACATGACACTGAAAACATTCTGTCGGCCACGATTTCAGGGAGATGCGTTAATGTCCAGAAAAGTGCAACAGATCCCCGACCCACGGGATATCTATATTTGGGGAATCTAGCAAATAATGCGTGCTGAATTGCTGTGGTTACCTTGGACAAATCGGAATCAAAAGAGCCGTCGGATTTCACTTGTCCAACCCCACCTGAAAACAAATATCACCATTTTAAACTAAATAATAAATTCAAGACGACCAAAATTCAAACTTGCTCCGTATCCGTTAAGTTTTAGATTTGAGAATTTATGACACAGTCCGAATTAGTAATTCTAAATAACCTGAATGAACTGTCTTTTCTCCGTAGAATTCTTTGACGTTGTCTGGAAGTTCGTTGAACGCTTGTCGCAGACGAAGTGTTGCATCCTGTGGAAAGATATTGGTGGCGAATCCAGTTGGTTGTATCAGATGCGCTGTAACGCCAATGTGATACATCTCACGCCTGTTAACATGAGAACGTAAACGTAACATAAGAATTTTATTTTATCCTATACTTTATCCTTTTGTAATTGTAGCTTATTTTAAGAAATATCCCAAAAAATTATGCTTTTTATCATTCTTAAAACACAATAATTTCACTTCGTAAAAGTTACAAGTATTTTATGAAATAAACAAGGCGACACTAACCTGAATGTGTCCGTATAAGCCTCAAGAGCCGCTTTGCTGATGTTATACGCCACAACACCCGGAAATGCCACCATGGTCGCCACAGAAGACATGTTGACCAGACGGCCTTTGGACTCTCTTAGAAGAGGGAGAAAGGCCTTTGTGATCATCATAGCCCCCATCAAGTTGACGCTGAGAGTTTTATCATAGTGCTCTCTAGTCTGCCATTCTAGTGGCGCCGCTAGGTGGAGGATACCTGCGTTGTTAACCACACCCCACAAAACTGCAAGAGTAATTTATACTTCTTAGTTAAATGAATTTGGTTTATAAGTGTAAAAGATTTTAAAGAAAATAAGAAATACATTAATGATATCAACTATAAAAACAAATGCAATCGTTGAAGAACCATTGGATGAAATATGCAGATAATGAACAGTGTTTAAGCTTAAAAGGCCATTCAAACTATTCATATTAGAATAAGCACAATCACCGACCTATAAAATATAAGAGGTGGGTGCAGGTTCATGAAGAAGCATGCATCCTCTGCTGACAATTTACACCCTTATGTGCCCCTTGTCATGACTACGAAAACGGAAAATTCTGTGGAAAATTTAGTGTTTTAAAAATGCCTTTTATTTGGCAGTTAGTTTAAAAAAAGGTAGTAAGCACTAAATGACCTAATGATAGATTAATTAATATGTAATTATATTTCCTGATAAGGTCATTGTATCTACCATCGAACTTGCGAAATTAGCACATCAAACAAGACTGTTGATATCCTTGTTTCATCAACTTGTTGGTTAATAGCTTGTCTCTTATTAAAATTGATCGTAGTAGGGCATGCTCTTGCGTATCGAATCAACTGGGAGATATGAGATAAAATGACAAAATCTTTAGAAAATATATATAATCTTTTTAATATATTAAAAAAAAATGTCGAATTGTATGATTTTGTTAAGCTTATGAATCAGAAGATTAAGTCCAATTTACAAAAATCAGATTGGATTAACAAAGCCCAGTTATTATATGTATTAAAATAATATGGAATTATATGATATTTTTTCCCCAAATAAATCAAAGGGTTTAGAAACTCAAAGTAAAAAAAAAAGCTCTGATTTTTTTCTTTGACATACTTAACAAAGCCCAGTTATTTGAAGTATTTTTATCATCATTACACAGATCTTTTGACCCAGAAAAAGGATCATTAATCATCATCACAAATCGCATTTAAAAGAAATAAGGTCAAAAATCACTGTGATTGAAATGCATGCCCTCCACAGAAATAAAAGCGGTGCACTTTATTTCAACCAATTGAGATGAGCATTTCTCCGTCAATCTTCCTAAGATAAATTATTTTAAGCTACCTAAGTGTGTGCAAGCCGTTACGAAGTACAGTAGATCTATCACTGTTGAGTTTACCTATAGAGACACAATTAACTATTTATAAATTTATTAACGTCAGCATAAAATTATAAATAACCATACAATGATATAAATAGGCTTGTAACAATAGGAGATAATAGATCGCCTTTTAAAAATAGAGTCCCCGATGTATCTAATACTAACAGTGACCGACCTGTCCTTCAGTGTTACAGTAAATATTTATACTGACATGTATACTCATCGCCCACTGGAAGACTAATGACCACTATTGTCCAGTCTCCGTGGTCCAGCTTCTGTTAATATTAATACATTTCAATGGAATATAGATACAAAGGCCAGGATTTGTAAAATATATCTTTATCTGATTTATTTTTCCCTAATGTGTTTAGGACTTTAAGAAAATATTGGGTTTTTTTTTTTTCATTTTTAAGGGCGTTTTTTTTCCTTTTGCAATTGGCTATTAAAAGTTCGAACAAAATAAACCAAATTATTTCTCTTTAATGTGAATAATTATTTGTGGAATATGCATAATTCGCGATTCTTCATAAACTAAACAGTATATTTCTAACCCAAAAATACAGCTAAACTTCATTGATACAATGCATTTATTGTCTTGTTTAAACTGAAAAGAGAAGTTTTTTTTCTATTTTAAATGTGTTTTTCTTTGTACTGCTTGTATTCCTTTCATATACATGAAGATATATTAAGAAAAGTGGGAAATTTGCCTTAATTATGATTTAAAATAATTTCCATTGCTTGAATGATTGAAAAAAAACATCGGCGGTTGAGATTGAAGCGTATAATAAAAAGTGGCCAATATGAATTTGAAAATTTGAACAAATGGTTTTTAAAAAAACAACAACATAAATATAATTCGGAATGATTTGAAATATATAAAATACAAAAAATATCTCTCATTCAAGAAATTCTGTTGCGTGAAACATTAAACTCAGAATGAAGTCATGTATTCAGTTAACTGAAAGGACGGTGAAAGTGAACTGATATTGGCAGAACTCTGCATTTCAGTCACTTTTATAGACTTCACTTTTCTGAATGGTTCAGTTCCCCATACGAAAAAGCAGTTTGTACGACGGCGTATTAGTGCCATTTTAACAATGTATAATTTTTTTTTTAAATCGTTTGTACGATTTAGTAAAGTTTGTACGATTTAGAAATCGTTTGTACGATTTAGTAAAAAAAAAATCGTTTGTACAATTTAGTAAATCGTTTGTACGATTTAATAAATCGTTTGTACAATTTAATAAATCGTTTGTACAATTTGTTTGTTAAATCGTTTGAACAATTTATTAAATCGTTTATACAATTTATAAATCGTTTGTACGATTTAATAAATCGTTTGTACAATTTAGTAAATCGTTTGTACAATTTAATAAATCGTACAAACGATTTATTAAATCGTACAAACGATTTATTAAATTGTACAAACGATTTATTAAATCGTACAAACGATTTATTAAATCGTACAAACGATTTAAAAAAAAAATCTACATTGTTAAAATGGCACTAATACGCCGTCGTAAGTTTGTGAGAAAACTGTAAAAAAAAAAATCCATATCTGACAATGAGACATTTTTTTTCACAATGAAGTTTTTTTAGAGATAATATTTACCTTCATCTTGTTTAAGTTCAGATTTCACTAAATTTACGGCATTCTGAATGGAGTCTTCCTTTGTAACATCTAAACGGAAAATAACAGCATCTGAGGAGCATTTCTCCGTCAATCTTTTCCTCCCATCCTCAGTAAAACAGCCCGCGAAAACCCGCGTGCCCCTCTTGTTCAGTTCCTGGGCGAGTCGGTGACCAAACCCCGTGTCACACCCAGTCACCAGCACACATTTACTTTGTGTATTCTCAATCAGAAAAGACCTAAAGTAGTGTTCAATGAATTTACAGAGTGCAAAGAAAGCAGTTGCTGCGACAAAGAAGGCGATGATCTCCATGATGGAATTTTTGAATTTAAACGCGGATGGATAACAAACTCGGGCATTTATAGCGGGTAATCTCTGTATTCAATATAAGGTTGGTTATTTCGAAATTCTCTATAGAATTATGGGGGGTCACTCATCTCAGCTAGATAGTATAGTATTTTTGCGTAATCCCGCTCTTATAAAGTACTCAAACCACCCAATTAATAATTGAAATTGCAAAATCAGGAAAACTTATATATTTGTAATTCTTTGAAATAACAGAAATATTTTTGGGGGGTTTCTGGTACCTTTGTGAGGTATTGTAAAAACTCTTGAATGCCATTACATAATAACCTTCCGGGGAATACGTACTTAAGCAAGAATGTAACTATTTCAAGGTAATAACTAAACTGCGTGGTGCCTGTTTTGTGTATTAAATATGACTATCATTTTTCATTACTAATTATTAATAATTATACAAAGATAACGAAATATTGAAATATTATCTTTTAATTTCAAAATAAAACTGCTAGAAAAGCATTCAAAAAATCAAACCAATATTTAAAAAATCTCGTTTTTAACTTTTTTTCTATTAAGACAACATACAAAGAATTATTTTCATATTCAGTTTTCAGTTTATTTTGTTCTTCAGATTTTATACAGACTATAAAGCATGCAGACATGAAGCATTTTCCAATTGCATGATATACAAAATAAGGATAAAAATATTAAATAATAATTACAATTTAGATTTTCGTAGAGGTGTGGTTTTGTATAAAAAAAAAAATCCCCAAAGTTGCTCACATTAGTCTTGTAAGTTTAAATACACTTGGTTTACATGTAACATTCTGATATTTCTTATTATACATACTTTACAGACTTTCAAAGGAACATTTTAATATTTTATATAATGAAATTCATCTTCACTACCATTAGAAGAACAGAGTGTGGAAAAATTTCATTTCTGTTTTCAAAATAGACTCTTTATAATAAGTATCAAAAATTATGATTTTAAAATATCTGGACACCATATCTTAAGTTCTAAAAAATTGAATTTCTTGTCCGGTTTTATTGTCTGATTATTTTCATTTTCTTTTATGATTCTTGTTCTTTTATTCTTTGAGCCAAATACCTCCTCATATTAAATTATATCTATACAAACATTAGATAAACTTTTTTATTTAAAAAAAAAAAAAAGGCATTTCACATTTGCTTTGTATATAAAAGATATATGCATGGCAATGAAAAGATGCACATGCATGCTCAATATTATTTAATGGATGTATCTCATAAAAACTTTTTCGGAAAATTTATAAACACCAGTGTTAAAAACTAGGAGAGGTACTGTGAGTACTGAGCTCATTAAATGATACCCCCATCCACCATATGATTATAATAGCAAAGTCCATGTTTTGCTCTTGAAAACGCGCAATAAATGTCAGATCAAAAAGTAAAATAGGAGATGCACAATGGTATTCTGCATTAAAGAATCTTTGAAAGTATCACTAAATTTTATCCAGTGATATAGGAGGAGTTGTTGATAAGAGATGGATATACTTTAGTAATATGGAAATAATAGAAGTGTCAAAGTTTTGCTATGGGAAACCAAAAATATGTGTCCGATCAAAAAGTAAAATAAAAGGTGCACATTGGCACTATGTAACAATCATTCTGAGAAAGCCTCATTAAATTTCATTCAGAAGTGTAGGAGGAGATGCGGATAGGAGATGGGTACCCCAAAACGTAGCGGACGAACGTACATGCTAGACGGACAGACGGACATCCCGACCACTATATATCCTCCCACTTTTAAAGTGGGGGTATAATCAAAAGCTAATTCGGACAACAATTCATGCCTTTTATTAACTCCTTTTTTTTACTTTTATAAAAGAAATATATGTAGTCTTAGTTTATTAATTTTTTGTTATTGTGTTGCTTTCATTTTTAGCATTTTACCGTAAAATATCCTGAAGGGAATCATGTATTTACAATATTATATTCTCCGTGTGCTTATTATAGATATTGTCTCCATAACAGTTTACAATTATTATTATAAACTTTCCCTGTTAACAGTAAAGACCGAAGGGAGTTCATGAGGATGACTTCGATTCTTTCCAAACTTAGAACATAACATGATAGGGATTGTATCAACAATAGTGATTAATAAAACTCTGCGTGGGTTTTCTCTGACCTTGTTTTATTCTATTTCATTCATAACACTAGTACTTCGTGGTGCGATTTATTTTTGATCACGTGTCCTTTTACGTTTGATTCAGATTCCCGTGATTTAAATTAAATAGTTAAATAAAAACACGTTTTTGAGAGGTCGACTTGAATTACGAAAGAACATTATTACATAATAGATTTCTTTAAATAGTAACCTTCAACTTTCGGGTATCTCAATGATCTGAGATAATTATATGTGGTTGAAAAGATAAATTTTAAGATTTTAAAAGTTGTATTGAAAACAGAATTGTTTCAACAATAATAGTAAATAAAACCAATCACATTTGGGGGATCTTAATTCATAAAAACTTATGTAAAATTTTTGCCCTCAGATAAAATCAAAAAGAGTGGCAGAAATACCCACAATTCTAGATCCATCTATATTCTTTTAGAAAACAATATATTGATTATGCATTGAAACACCACCTTTCAAGAGGTAATTATCGTTCGTATTACAATAACAGTTGAGTAGGAACAGACCTTTCATATATTTCGCAAACATTAGTAATGATTTTTATATTTTAACACAAAAAGCATAGCTTCATCAAGTTTTATAAAATGAATTATTGTCTATTATCAATATTGATCATTTTATTCGTTGTGATTTTATGTTATCTTATCATGACATGAAAATGAAATTATACAAAAGAAACGTGAATAAGCCACGCCTCATGTTTCAAACTTTTTCGCTCAATTTAAATCCCATGCTATTTCTGTTGAAGAAATTCATTGTTGGGAGTTTTTATATACTTTTAATGAAATTTGCATTAAAGGATGATCAATAGTTCTTAACATATCACTCTTTATCAAATAACTATTTGCTATTCTTAATAAAATATAAATGAACATCATATATCCTTAATAATTACACAATGAAGAGGCCTTCATTACGACTACAGGCAATGGGTGGAACATAAAACATGTTAGACAAATCTTCCAAGACTCTGATCCCTTCGATTTTCAAATACGTTGACTGGGCATCCTTATTTGAACCACAGTGTACATAATACATATTATAGGCCTTTCAACTGCCGCTAGGGGTCGGTTTTATGAACGATAACTCACTGTTGAAACATGTTGAGAGTAGGCTCGGGGTATCTAACTGTTTACAAGCAAGGCAGTTTTTAGCATTTCCCAAGTGTTTCTTTGCTCTCAGTAGAATCCAGTGGTTTTAAAATGTAGCACCAATGTTAAACTTATTTACTGTGTAGTTGCGGACACCATTTCACTTCATATAATTAAAAGTTTTAATTAAAATAAAAAGTGAAATCTATAGTTCTAACCTAATTAAATTTTAATACTCACGTGCTTAGTAACACAAGTAAGATGATCAATTGCTGTATTTACTTGTAAAAATATATATATTTATATAGGAAGCGAAAAAGCGCGAAAACAAAAAACATGACATGAAATTTTCTTCTTCATAATAATCGTCAAAGAGAGTTAAAAATATTGAATATAGTCTGTTTCTATTTGACCCTGTTATTTCAGGCAGAGTGACATTCTCATGGTCAACACTTTTGTGTTGTACATAAACCAATGCTGAAGCAGCCTATATGTCATTCCTATAAACATAACTTGAGGTTACCTATCCTTAAAACACAACACGGAAAAGTCGATGTATGCATAAGTATCTTTTTTGATAATTTCATGTACCTTATCTATCTACTGTTTTTTACCATATGTGCAACTTGAAAAATTAGTTGAAAGGCCTACATATTACATATTAAGAACTTAAAAACTGATTTTTCATTTAAAGAGGAACAACTCGATGTTCGTTCACAGACCTTACAACTGTTTAAACAGTTAAGAACCTTATGACTTTGTAAACCTTCACACTTGTGTCTTCGATGGTAAAATATTATACTGCTGAGAAGAACAGCACATGGGTAATTTCTCTGTTAATGTTAATTTAGGTGCATGTGAATCTATTTCTACTATTATCCCCCCTCCCAAAAAAAAAAGAAGAAAAAGACAAGAAAAGAAGACCACAAAAACAAATTGAACTTATATTAGTAATATAATAAAATAAAGGTATTTGAGAGCATTATTAAAGTTATTACCGTCTACAATATATATCGATCTTTCTCTTTCATAAATACTGTTTTACCTAACACTTGTACTTTCTTTTTAAGAGGATAGCCAAAAATTTTTCATTTAGAATGGAAAGTTTGAGGAAGTGAACACATAGTATTGCAGAATGGACAGTTGAAGGTATATTGTGGATGAGCACTTAAATAGCTGTGGTTTTTACAAGTAAATTTAGTGATAGTATCTTCCATTCATTTGTCGACTGGATATATCGAGCTTGAAAAAAGAGATATTATAGTGTCTGACAGATCTGTGTACTTTGATATTTTACTAGATGGTAACTTTGTGCCTTAATGGTAACATAGCAATAAAGCTTTGAATATTATAAACGTAATGACTTTAACTTTTCAATTGTCAACTTCCCTTACTTATGCAGCAATATTCCGTTATCATCAGCATATATGGAGTTTATGTCTCTCAGTAACTAGTATACGATATGCTAGAGCAGGCTTTACGTGTATGAAAAATATGGATATATCGATTATCGAACAATATTCAGCTCAAGACTCCATTTAACAATACAAAATTGGAGCAGAGCAAACACGGACCTCCCAAAATCAGGTACAATGGAGGAGTGAGCATCCCCTGCCGACAGGTCACACCCGCGATGTACTTCTTGTCACGATCAAGAAATAACGGGAAAATCCGTACACAATTCAGGGTGTACAAAATGGTCTAACAATACGTATGAAAAAAAAAAAACATCAGCCATAGTCATCATTTGATTTTGTGAT